GATTATTCAATTCTATACTGAGTTCTCCCTTTTCTGATCTGCTATAGCAATTTTATGTTTGTTAAGCCCACAAAATTCTGTATATTGTTAGACATGTTTCACAAGACCACGTCTCATTTTCCTAAGTCCAGCGTGTGCATCTCAAGAGCTAGTGCTCCAGGGTAGGAGACCCGATGGAAAAGCAGGACATGGACAACTGAGGTTACAGAAGGTGCTACTGAAGATACCCTGGTTCATGGATGATGGGGCATCCAAAAATACACTTCAGTGACTCTAACGTAGCAGCAGGATCCTCAGATCCTGTTAGGTAACCTTCAAATCACTAGACAGTGTGATATTCCTTTCTTGGGTCACATTTTGCCCAGTATTCAACCCTAGGGCCTACAAGTGTGTGCTGTCACAGTAGGAACTGAACCACATCAGATTGGAGTCATGTGCCTTCAGTGTAAATAGCCAACTCTAAACTTGCTCTAAGGCAGGCAGGCTGTAAGCACCCCAAGATGATCCTCCCTGTAGCCTTGAATGGTACCCTTTCCCCATCAGCTGCCACGTGTCCTCCTCTCTACTCTTGTCTTCATCACAAAGCATCTGACAAGCTCATTCCTAATAGGGCAACAGAGACTTAGAGTGAGATTTGCCTTCTCCCCAAAGTACGTCAACACAGGAGAAAAGTGCAAGCCGTTATAACAGAAAGGTAATGGTGAAATTGTAGGTCTCAACCAAAAAGTTGAGGCTTTTCTTTCGTGTAAGAAATTTCCAGCTACTAATCAAATGACTACATATAAGTAGCAAACTATCCCCACTATTATTAATAAATCACATATTTTTCTTTATCCTATAAGATTTCATAAATGTACTCACATTTTATAGCAACTATAATTTGAATAGTCATACTATATTCATGTCTCCAAAGTGCTGGGTCATGAGGTAGGCCGATCATGGGTTCCAAGTCTACCTCCCTGGGTTTGCACCTGCACCACTGAGGCAAGTTACTTAAATGTGTTTGTGCCTCATTCTCCTCATCTGTACAATTGGAGAAAATATTCCCCACCTTGTGAGGGGTATTGTAAGGATGAAGTTAGATCATATATATAGGCATTTAGAACCTTGCTGGACACTTAGTTTATGTTCAATAAATGTTAGCTATTAGTAAGATTTATTTCTAAATAATAAAACATTTGCAGCTGGCAAATTATCGATTTTTGGCAGGTCTTTATATTTTAATTTGCCATGGCTTATAAAGAATATTTGGCATAAAGGGAAGTTCCTGTAAGATTGAGACTCATGATTTGCCCAGCATTTTCAAGAAGTGTGTGATGAAGTTGGCTACATGGCAGTGAAGATTTTTTTTTAGACAGAGTCTCGCACTGTCGCCCAGGCTGGAGTGCAGTGGCACGATCTCGGCTCACTGCAACCTCCACCTCCTGGGCTCAAGCAATTCTCTGCCTCAGGCTCCAGAAGATTTATTTCTTACATAAATGCGTGTTTTTAAATTTTGATTTCCAGATTGAAGCTATCCCTAAAGATGATTCTACATTATCTGAGAGAAGGCGGGAGCTTCACAAGGAAGTTGAAGTAGCTAAGAGGAATTTGGCCCAACAGGTTAATATCAACATTCATTTAAGCTTCTATCTAAGAAGGGTTCGTACAAAGTTGTGTTTTTAACAGTGCTCCACAAAACCTTATCAATAAGAGAGTCATCAAAGAGAGTATGATCCTGCTTAATGTGGGTATATTTCTTCAACTCAAAGTCCACTCCAATCCTAAATTAAATTTGAGAAAAAAGAATATGTTTGAACCAGAAAAAAGTATTCAAAGGAATGAGATTTTTAAATTATGGGTTATTGATTACATTAAAAGTAAACCACAGATGTTTTATTTCACCAATGTCTAATTTCAAATTTTCTTTTGTTTTTATGTCTCTTCTTTTTCTTAGTCACTTGAAAATACAGTCTGAATAAGAAAAGGTTCTGTCATGTTAACCCACTGATTTTCACATTATATTACAAAATAAAGGGAAAAAATGAAGCTAAAACAGCATTACTTTATTTTTTATTTTTATTTTTTTGTTGAGAGGGATCTTGCTATGTTGCCCAGGCTGGTCTTGAACTGCTGGCCTCAAGTCATCCTCCTGCCTCAACCTCCCAAAGGTTTGAATTACAGGCATGAGCCATCACACCTGGCCTGTTTGTTTTAATAAAATACATTTTGTATAGGAAATAAAAAGGTAGTCTGAGATACTAGCTTTATTGTATTCCTTCAATTAAGTTATAATATTATCTGTGCTTTTTTCAAAAGAAAATTATATCCGAAATGGAGTCTAAGTTAGTAGAACAACAACTTGCAGAAGAAAACAAGCTTTTAAAGGAGCAAGAAAACATGAAAGAGCTGGTATTCAACCTTGTCCGCATGACTCAAATCAAAATTGATGAAAAGGAACAAAAGTCCAAGGATTTCCTGAAAGCTCAGGTAACTGCATTTTTTTTAACCATTTATTGATAACTACAAGAGTTCAGGGTAGCCTCATTTGAATGCAGTGTGCATTAGAAAGCTATACAATTGACCCTTGAACAACATGGATTTGAACTGCATGGGTCCATTTATACACAGATTTTTTTTCAACCAAATGCAGATCAAAAGTAGAGTACTCACAGAATACAAAACCTGCATATATGGAAGGCCCACTTTTTTTATAGGTGAATTCCACAGGGTCAACTTTGGGACTTGAATATGCTTGGATTTTTGTGTTCTCAAAGGGTCCTGGAACCAGTTCCCTATGTATACCAAGGGACCACTATAACTATGCCTCTCCTTCAAGTACCAGTGACTATAAATCTTCCCTAAATGAGATTCCATCACACGCTGAAAGATAGTCCCAGGATTCAATTAACAGTAGTCAACAATTTAGAGGGGAAAGGAGATCATTGACAATGAGCAGAGGATTTGAACAGATGGCAGTTTCAGTAAGAATAGAGTGGGTGCCTCCAGTGGACAGGGCTGGCAGCTGCATAGGCTGCAGATATCATTTAGTTTTCACTCCCATCTCAGACTCCACTGTGATTTGTCCAGGAACAACTCAAGAGTGGTAGCATTAGATAGCTGTCCCTCCCAACTTCATCAAGACGGCATCATTTAATCGAATGCCAGATACCCTTAGTTGCTGCCTCACGCCGTGATTTTCCTGGGCCTCCAAAACAGTGCCAGTGCAACATTCCCCCCTAAAATCAACAATACAACAAATGGTAAAACAGCCCTCCTGTCACGCCAGCTAAAATTCTACCATTAACCATTTATTCCATATAAGGATTATGTCCAGATCATGCCCAGAAGCTCCCTGTTAAAAATGAACAGGATATTACATATTACTAAAATAGAAGAATTTATCAAGCCAGGTGTGGTGGCTCATGCCTGTAATCCCAGCACTTTGGGAGGCCAAGGCTGGTGGATCACTTGAGGTCAGGAGTTTGAGACCAGCCTGACCAACATGGTGAAACCCCATCTCTACTAAAATATAAAAATTATCCAGGCATGGTGGCAGATGCCTGTAATTCCAGCTACTTGGGAGACTGAGGCAGGAAAATCATTTGAACCTAGGAGGTGGAGGTTGCAGTGAGCCGAAATCGTACCACTGCACTCCAGCCTGGGCGACAGAGCGAGACTCCCTCTCAAAAGAAAGAAAGAAAGAATTTATCACATGACCCAGATGTGGTCTGTTTCTAAGCACACCCTTTGTTCTCATTCTAAGTAAGTATTTACATGGAATGGTATTTCTTCTCACTCTGCAGCATGAGCTCACTCACACCAAAGCATTAGTGAGCAATGAGGTATGAAGTACATTTTTGCAAAGAAGACTTGAGGAGAAGATCTACACTGCACAGCCCACTGCAGGCACTTCACATCCCCCTTTCACTGTTTATTTTTCCACCTTAATATTTAAGAAACTAAAAGAAGTTCAGCATGGCTGACACATGGGAAGATGGGGAGAAAGGATGTCAAATAGTGAGACCAGAGAGCAGGAGAAATCAGAGATGAAAGTCACTTAATCCACGTTAAACAGTTGAGACTCCAGCATGAAGGCTGCAGCAACAGTGAAGTTCATGGGGTAGTTGGATTTCACCAGGTAAAGAAATGGTCAGGGAGGACAGGATGAAAGAAAGGCAGCTTGAGAGCACATGGTGGTTGAGGGGGTAAGATGCAGGAGTAGGACAAGGAGAGGAGAGAGGAGAGATGTGAGAAGGCCATCTTGGGCCAGGAGCGGTGGCTCACGCCTGTAATCCCAGCACATTGGGAAGCCAAGGTGGGTGGATCACCTGAGGTCAGGAGTTCGAGACCAGCCTGGCTAACATGGTGAAACCCCATCTCTACTAAAAATACAAAAAGTTATCCTGGCATGGTGGCGGACCTATAATCCCAGCTACTCAGGAGGTGGAGGCAGAAGAATCACTTGAACCCAGGAGGCGGAGGTTGCAGTGAGCCGAGATTACACCACTGCACTCCAGCCTGGGTGACAGTGTGAGACTCCATCTCAAAAACGAAAAATAAAAGGAAGGAAGGATGGAAGAGAGGGAAGGAGGGAAGGAAGGAAAAGAAGGAAGGAGAAAGCCATCTTCACCAAGTCAGGGTCTGGGATGGGACTGGTCCAGAATAACATTTTCAAGACAACTTGGTGTTGGCTGGGAAGATCCCACTCAAGTGAGTCTTTCCTAGTTAGAAACTTCCTCCCTTTTCTCTTTAGAAATTATAGAAACACTAGAGGATACTTATTTGTTAAAATAAACACTGATCTGTTTTACGAATTAGATAATTTTCAATTAATCTCAAAAACTGATGTACATGTTATCTATGTGTGACTAATCTATGTAAAGCAAACCTCATTATTAAATGAGTTAATCATATTAAACCACAAAAGACAATTCTTCTTGAGATATGGAAATTGATAAGGGACAAACGTTTATCCTTTGAGTATTTGTAGCCTTAGGAATTAGTGTGTGAAACATTACCTGTACTCAGCTGCGATTTTCATAAGGCAGTCAGTCTTACTACTTTATGTTCACATGGCATCCACATCCCTAAAGACCAAGGTGAAGAAAAAAAACAATGTCACTATCACTCCCAAGACAGAATAGATGACACTACATTTTCCCATCTGTTTTATTATTCATGTGTACAGTTATTTAAATACTTGTTTCTTCCTGACCCCTATTCTCATGGAGAACAACATTAGAAAAATGCTACACATCAATCTTGGCTCTACAGCTAGTTTCTTTCGAATCACTCATACCAAATGGGCTTTGCTCTCAGTCCTTGAGAGAAGGCTGACAAACTATTTCCTCTGGTTTCTACCAGCAAGTCCTTCATTTTTGAATACGTTTCTTATCCCAGATGCAAGAACCAGTATCTTTAGATTTAAAGAACATAACTAATGTATTTAGCACTTGATATATTTTTTAGAATTTTAGAAATGTAACTGCTTTCTTTTAAAATATTTGTGTGTAACACCTCCTTACAGCTGGTCTCAATGTGATGCTTTATTGTGTAGGGAAACACCCCACATACAAAATACTGCAAAGCACTTTAAAATCATTTCTTCAGTCTCTGACAAACCACCACAGAGAGTTCAGTTTATAATACCACCAAATCTTACTAGGAATCCTCTTTCTTCATCTATCTTCCATAAACTCTATGCTCACCCATTCCAGCTGTGCAGTTCAAAATCACTCTTCCTCTCTCTCAAGAGTCCTCCAAACTTTTCCTCAAACCCAACCCATGCAGGCTTTTTGATTTTTCCCTTCTCTTGTTTGTTGTCTTCCTTAGGTAACAGTTAACAGTTTGTCTTAGCCAATGTGAATCAGTTCAGCTAGCCAGGGAATTTTCAGACCTTCACCCTGATCTATACAACCCAGCAAGCCAAGAAAGACTTGAGAGACAGAGTCTTACTCTATCACCCAGCTGAAGCGGATGATGATGCGATGGCTCACTGCAGCCTCAAATTCTTGGGTTCAAGTGGTCCTCCCACCTCAGCCTCCTGAGTAGCTGGGACTACAGGTGCACACCACCATACCCAGATAATTTTTTTATTTTTGTAGAGATGAGGTCTCTCTATGTTGCCTAGGCTGGAGAATTGTCTTTAATGGAAGGGAATGATAAGGAATAAAGCTGGGAGTGTTCATATGTTGTTATTTATTTGACATATATATTTTTTTACATTTCAGCAAAAATATACCAACATTGTTAAAGAAATCAAAGCAAAGGATCTTGAAATCAGGATACACAAGAAGAAAAAATGTGAAATTTATCGGAGGTAAAGTAATTATATGGTGTTTTACCTATTTAGGTGAGAAAAAAACCTGATGTTTATTTCATAAGTTTCAGTAAACGCTTTGTATTTACAGACTCAAAGAGTTTGCTAAACTGTATGACACCATTCGAAATGAAAGAAACAAATTTGTTAACTTACTCCACAAAGCTCATCAGAAAGTAAATGAAATAAAAGAAAGGCATAAAATGTCATTAAATGAACTTGAAATTCTGAGAAATAGTGCTGTTAGTCAAGAAAGGTAAGTGTTATAACTACTGGCCTTTCAAAGGCTTGTTTTCTGATTCATTTGAACTCTAAAAATCCTGGGGATAATACAATAGAAAAGAGGCAGAGGCTGCAATGAGCCAAGATGGTGCCACTGCCCTCCAGCCTGGGTGACAGAATGAGACCCTGTCTCAAAAAAATAAAAAAATAAAAATAATAGTATTTTAGAAAGCCAGAGAAAGTGCTTGTTCAAGCATCTTGTTTTATAGATGATAATCTATCATGCTTCTACTGTTTGGGAGTCATTTTTTTAACGAATGAAAAACTGTAACATATAACTGTGCTTACTACGATGATTTTAGAAAGAAAAGAAATTAGAAAGAAAAGCACAAATCTAATAATTGGGATTGGGAAGTTAGAAAACAATCAAATCGTTTGTTAACCAACATCCCCTGGTTGTAGATGTAAAGCATCTAATGTGTTGTGGGAGGCAATACATTATAGCAGATTGGTGAAAGAGGTGGTGTCCAGACTGAAATACCACCCCTGCCACTTACTACCTGTGTGACCGTGGACAAGCTGCCTTGTCCCTCTGAGCTCACCTTCCTTATCCATACAAATAGTCCTTATTTCATATGACATTTTACTATGAAATGAGCTAATCCATATAAAAACCACTCAGAAGAATGTCTGGCAAATGGTTGTTTTCTTCATTTATTATTTACCATGTGCCAAGATCTGCTGGACTCTTTCACCTACGTTAGTAAACAGTACACGATCAGGGTATAATCTAATTTTCTGGTGGCCATTATTGCCCAGTTTCCTTCAACAAGGCGATTATAAAGTGGCCTCGTTTCAGGGGTCGCGGGTGGATGAAAAGAAAAATATAATTTCCTAATCAGGTTCTCATCCAACTTGAAAATGAAATACGTTTATAGAGGCCATGCATTCATTCAGCATTTACTGTGGCCATAGACTGAGTCAGGTACCACCTTATGTCCAATGGATATTATTGGATATAACCATCTCTGTCCTCAAGACAGCAGTCTCCTGAGACTGACAATAAATGAATGACTGCAGTCTCTTGCTTTCATAAAGCGGGGTAGCAGAATGCTGGGGCACAAAGTAAAGATTTTCTAATCTGGAGGAGAGAAAATCTGAGACCTGGAAGGATTATGAAAATTCCTGAAGAGTATTATAAGATGAATATCATTATTACTAGCATCATCATTTCAAGGGCTACACTAAAGCAAGGTCTGCTTTGATACTGCTTGTGTTTCAGAAGCCTTCATTCCTTTTAAATAAAGAAAATTATCATCTTACCCATTGTCTTATTATTTTAAAAGAAAGCTACAAAATTCCATGCTGAAACACGCCAACAATGTTACCATCAGAGAGAGCATGCAAAACGATGTGCGCAAAATTGCATCAAAACTTCAGGAAATGAAAGAAAAGAAGGAAGCCCAGTTAAATAACATTGACAGACTTGCCAATATGATCACAATGATCGAAGAGGAGATGGTGCAGCTTCGCAAAAGATATGAAAAAGCTGTTCAGCATCGAAATGAAAGGTAAAAACCAGGTGTGAGAACAGAGCACCGGGGATCCAATTGAGGAATGTCACCTCTTTTTCCACCTAGACTTGACAGTGAATAGTGAGGGAAATGTGATATTCAGGTTTCATTAGCCTTTGGAGAGAAGGGACTGTGTGTTGCTTCCCTTGAAAATAAGAAATGCTGTCCTCATGCCAGGCACAGTGGAGTGATCCCAGCACTTTGGGAGGCCGAGGCGGGGGGATCACTTGAGCTCAGGAGTTCGAGACGAGCCTGGGCAACATGGTGAAACCCTATCCCTGCTAATAAAATACAAAAAATTAGCTAGGTGTGGTGGCGGGTGCCTGTAATCCTAGCTACTGGGAGGCTGTGGCATGAGAATCACTTGAACCTGGGAGGCAGAGGTTGCAGTGAGCCGAGTTCGCACCATTACACTCCAGCCTGGGCCACAGAGTGAGACTCTGTCTCCAAAAAAAAAAAAAAAAAAAAAGAAAGAAATACCATCCTCATAAACAGGCAAAGAGGAGGGGTTTGGGGAAGTTGCTTGCTTGAAGATCAATGTCCTTTCCTAGGTGGTCATTCAGGGCGCCTCTTATCAGATTCTTTCAACATAATTGACATAAATAAGCGTGGAACTTGTACCCATTTTTGTGGTAGGTTTGGTCTTATTATATTTACTCAGCCATTCTCCTAGTTCATTTGCTCAGCAAGTTAGTAAGACCTTTAGGAGTAGCATTATTTCTTCCAGGCTGTAATTATATCATTAATCAATGTTTACTTCAGCAGTTCCCCCAGGTTACTTATGCTGTGAGAAATAGGAATGTGAAATTTGCAGAGCCCTGTGATAATGACATCTGGTATCAGAATTTTTTAGTCAAACTTTGATTGTGTGCTTTTCTGTATAAGGCATTAGAGTGCTAGAACTTGAGAGTACAAAAACGTGGTAAAACATTGCTCCTGGCTTCGGTTATCAAGAGAACTTGATCTTGAGCCTTTGAAAGGAAAACAGACAAAATATAGAGCTGGGATTAGCCAAGTACAACCATGTGCATGCATGTTTTGAGGAAGGGGAGTCATAGATAGAAGCAATTAAAGGAGGAACTCTGAAATAACAGATATCCATAGTGTGTGGGAAGACCTTTAGGGTCCTTTGAAGAACAGATTTTCAAAGGGCTGGTAGGTTTTCCTCCAGGGGAGAAAAAAAATACTATTTGGCTCCTGGCACAAACCAAAGCTTTTGGACAAACAGTGTACACCCAGGTGCTACTCAGATCAGTGGGGCATGATCAGCCATGCAGACCAAAGCTGCTAGGGTTAGAACATTCTTACTTTGTTTCCTCCCCATATTCTTCGTTCAAGGAGGGGTCTTTCTCCTGGCATGATTACAAAGGATAGATTTTTGTCTGTTTATGGGAAAATTACAATCAGAAATATTCAACTTGAGAAGAAACTAATGGGCCTAGCAACTTAATGTAGAGCAGACTCACACCAGAACTACATTCCCTGGCCCCCTGCCTGTGTGCTTCTGGCCAGGCCTTGGTTGGCAAGTTTGACCCGAGAAAAGGATCTGCAGAAAATCAGACTATGGGATCACTTTGTTTGTGCATTGGGAATGACATTCTTTCCCACCCCGGGAAAACCTTTGGGACTTTCAGAGACACTGTGGCTAGCCAACCACATGGTCGGCCTCAAACTTGAGAGGCTCAGTAACCCTCCTATCCCTAGAGAAATCCAAAGTGTGGATGTAATTTAACTAGAAAGCCATTGGTGACTATCTGTCATCCTCTGGAAGTATATGCTGTGTTGATGTATATCTTGCAACCAAAGCCAGAGGGAATCACAATGACTAGTAAAACGGTGGTCTCAATGCCCACTTAACCTCTACCTCTGAATTTGACCACAGTGGCGTTCAGCTGATAGAGCGGGAAGAAGAAGTATGCATTTTTTATGAAAAAATAAATATCCAAGAGAAGATGAAACTAAACGGAGAAATTGAAATACATCTACTGGAAGAAAAGATCCGATTCCTGAAAATGAAGATTGCTGAGAAGCAAAGACAAATTTGTGTTACCCAGAAATTACTGCCAGCCAAGAGGTCCCTGGATGCCGACCTAGCTGTGCTCCAAATTCAGGTGGGTGAGTGATCACAGGACACTTCCTCAGACCATTTATTTTTTTCCACCTTTATTAGTTTGTAGATGAGTTCTTGCACGTAAATCAAGCCATACTATTTCTAGGACCTGTAAGAATCCATCTTGTTTAAAAATGCACATGAATGCTGCTCTAGGGTGGAATCTGTGCTTCAGGCATCCAGACTACACATTGTCTTTTTTTTCTCATGAGGCATTTTCTGCCTTTCTTAGAATTTAAAGTCTCCCAGGACTTAATCTCTAGCTCAGTTTCCTCATAGCTCAGACTTCACTGATCTAGACTCTCACTACCCTCAGCATACTCATGTTGTTGCTGCTTGCTGGACAGATCTTGAGGATGAGCCAGCACTCTTTTGATACTCTGGCCCCCAGAGCAAGAGATTGTCTGGAGATTGTTGCTTATTAGTAGTTGGCAATCACATATAACTTGACTCTTTATTAACCACTGTAGTTCTATGATAGCTTAGTAACTCAGCCTCTGACATGGCCTTTTTTAAAGTGGATAAATCCAAAAAACTAAAACACGAAAAAACAAAATAAAATATGAATATAAAGCTACTTTCTTCACATGTGTTACTAGGGGTTTATTCTTCATAGAAATTTTTTAAAATTAAACTGAAAACTGTGTAGCCTAAACTTGTTCCCATTAACTCAATGTGGCAGGAACAAATTCTAACCTATAACATTTTTTCTAAAATGTCAGGTTTGCATTTGGATTTTTTTTCCTGATAATAAAGTTAAGATATGTGGTGAATGAAATTTTGTAGAAGTATAAAAATTATAAAGAAGAAAATAAAATTGTACCCCCAAGATACAATTACTGTTAAAATTATCAGAAATCTGGGAGAAATCCTTTCATTTGTTTTCTAGGCGTACAAGTAAATGTTTTCATTAGCTCACGCCCTGGACAGTTTTGGGACCCCCTCTTTTTTTTTTTTTAATCATGTCAAGGGGATTCATAGGATTTCATGGGACTATATGATAGATCTGCTTTCATATTTTATGCCATTTGAATGTGCATATGCTGTATAGATAATAGCCTCTTTCAGTTTGCACAAATATGCCAATGTTCTGATTTCAAGTGTGTGTTTTTTTTTTTTTTTAATTGAGCCATGAGTTCTTCCATTCATTTCTTCAGTAAGTGTAGCCAGATTCAGATCAATTGGCCAGAAAGTCCCCCTAAAC